AAAACCCCAAAACCCCAAAACCCCAAAACCCCAAAACCCCAAAACCCCAATACTACTCCCTTTGGTTGAGTTGTATTAATAATAAATCATTCATATTCTAAATTAAGCCAAGATATCACCTTGATGGTGGGCCTGCAGAATACTGATTAGAGGCTCCGGATGAAGGATTATATCATTTTAGAGTGTCAAAATCCAAAAAGTCTGATCTCAAAACTTTATTTAAAAATCTTTAAGGAATCTTACTATTCTTGTTTAAATTTGGAAAGAGTGAAATTTGAACTTGTGAAGTCAAATAAGGCTGTTAAGCATTAATGTTTTAGTATTAGTACCTGTGAAGCTATCCTATTGAGATATGGTGGTGGCTGACAGAAATATGGTAGATTTTCAACATTGTCAATTTGTTGACTTTAATAATGATTAAAATAAGTGCATAAAGTTAATCCCTTCTGATATTATTTTTAAATAGAATCATGACTATGCAAACTCATGAGGAGGTTCTACGAACTTAAAATTTTTGAAGTGAGTTCTAGTGAGAATGTTATATTTACTGTCTTTTGTTCCTAACAATTGCACTGAGGGTAGGTACTAACAATTGGCTAAGATTTGGCCCATGAATCCATTTGCCTTGTCCATCAGAAACTGCAACCACTGTAGGATATTCAAGTACATCATCAGTCTCAATGCCAAGGTGGTGAGTAATGTATTCGTACCGGCCATCGGTGATGTCAAATTCTCTATAATACATACCGTTGAATCTATCGTAAACGTTGGCTTTAATAGATTCCCTCTCCTTCTGGATAGTTCTTGCATTATAGTTGCTCTCTTTTCCAGAATTATAAAAATACAGAAGGTAAATATGGTGATCTTCATCTCTCATGAACTCGATCATATCGTACTGTGTTTTGAACTCAAACGGAGTCCACTTACTGTAAGCAAGAGCAAGCACTGCTGCGAAGAGGATCAATGTAAAGCCTTTCATTTAAAATTTATATTAAATCAATTAATTTTTAAAACCAGGGGTTTTGGGGTTTTGGGGTTTTGGGGTTTTGGGG